TGACGCCATGAGCTAATTTCTAATCTGCATTGCAGACAACATACGATTAACGAACTCCGACCAGGTTCAGGCTGGATCTGTGAACTTAGCTGAATGTTTCGGTGGTTAACTATGAACTAATTTATCTTAACTTGACTCAGCTGAATTTTAGAAATAGTTCTTGTTGCAGATGAACTGGGCCAGCACTCCGCAGTGCATTGGCTGCAGAATCAGATGTGTGGACAGGCGGTGATAAATCTTCATCTGGCAGAGAAAGGCAGACAAGCAGCAGTGATGTGGCTCTGCAAAATGTTCTGGGTTTGATCATCGTTCAGGTGTTGCGATCAGATAAATGTGTTTCCACTGCAAGTTATGATTAGTAAGCGGGAGATGGTCACAAAAAATGTTTATGAAACGTTCTGAGATTTAACTTTATTCTAACGTGGATTATATTTACATAAGTGCAACTCATTATTCTGAATTTCCAAGATGATTGGTGTATAGGTGTCACTTTAGTTGTATTGTATCCCTTACAGAGAGGAGGCATCAGAATGGATCAATTAATCAAGTGATAAACGCCTGTTCCAATAGAGTTAGCTCATTTAAAACATGATCCGAACCACCGAGGAGAACTGCAAGTCTGATGATGAACAGAAACACTCACTTTCATGGGATAGCAGGAGGAATCGTTTGACAAGACATGGCAGCAGAAAAACACACGACTCATCTTTTAGGCTCATGTAAATCTATTAGCTCCTCTATTCATTATAAGATGCAGTTTAAAGAAGAGCCAGTTTGCAGGAATAACTGCAGAAATCATGCATTTTACAGAAAACGCCGGCATCAAAACACATTAGTGAAGCAGCTTTACCGCTGAGCTTGAATATATATTTAAATATATTTGAGACGTGCGGCCACGCTTTGAAGAAGCATCAGCTACATAACGATTTATGTAACGTGTTTAGTACAAGCGAGGTTTTAATCCATCAGTCGATTTTCCTTTGTTTTAATTAAAAGCCATTTCTGACTTTTTTAAAGTTGTGAATCCAGATAATTGAGGTGGCAGTTATTTTCCTAAGGTCAATTTCAAAACCTTAAAATGCTGTTTTCTGAACTCCACCACCGTTATTTACATACGACTCCGTGTTTTTTTTTTGTACATGGTGGTCCATTAATGGGCCATGAGCAAACTCCAGTATACCAGTAATGTTCCATGAGAGAAACATGTGATTTAAAATAAACATGTGTTAAGCATAATGATTAAGTAAAACTATTTGGAAAAAAAAGCAGTGCAGTCTAAAACCCATCGAAACAGCATTATTGACATTTACTCTGCGATAAATAACACATCATCTGCAAATTAAATGGTCTGTGCATGGTTGGTTTTGAATGCTGTAATTAGAAACCAGAGATGAAAAACAAAAATCAAGTCCAAAATGGGCAAAGTTTGATTGTCTGTCGCGCATCGAAGGAGGTTAGTCAACCTTAAAAATGATTGTGAAGACTCCAATGGCATGGATTTGTTAGAACAAAGGAATAGTTTATTTCAAACAAGCCTTTTATAGATCTGTGCACCAACCCGACGAGAGTAGTAAAAACAAATCTCCAAAAAACTCTGAATATAGTTTCTCTAAGAGCACACAGTATGACTTTATAGCTTTAGCAATAAGACAGTATTCTCTACAGGTTCACTCTTTCCTTCAGCTCGTAGCTTCAATGTGTCTTTAAGCCCTGTCAGGCATTCACAGCTTGTTTTCTGTTTGTTTTTGTTGCTCATTATAAGGCTCTGTCTTAGGAATACGTTCCTGATGCCTCAAGATCTAATTTGCTATCCGACACTACAAGTTAAAGCTAACGCAAACAAAATCCCCAGAAATAAAATAAAGCTTGTCCATTTATTTTATTTCAATACGCCATGCACCAAGTCTCACACTAGCTCTGTGACATGAACAGTAACTTGTTTAACACCAGACTTATGTAAAATGAGAAATGCTAAATAGTTTTTAAAACTTATCACTGTCCAAAACAAAAAAAAAATTAGATACCTGTTACTTTTTTGTGTTCTTGTCCGTTTGTTTGGTGGTAAAACAATTACATCACACATGTACGCAGAGGAAACAGCGCCCTCTACAGTTTCAGTACACAAAGGTAATAAAGTAGCCGACTGTTTCGGACGATTACAATATTGGCTTATTTTTCTTTTCGCTCTTATTTTTTATTTTATTTTTTATTTTTTGTTTAAAGCAAATATAAACTCTTACTCGATTTTGACCAGAAAAAAATGATTAAACAGCTTGTATTTTAATTTAGTCTTTAGTCATTTAAAACAATAAGCAAACTCTTTTGTTTTGTCTTTTCTAGTTTCAAATGAGAAATGAACAATTATAAAAAAAATCTATTCATAAAAAATTTTGCGCCAGTATAGAGCTGCTTAGTTGCAGAAATGTGCAAAGCTTCAGTTTAAGAATATCAACAGTGTGGCCTGAATTAGCTAGGTAGCACGTTCACTTAGCATGCTACTAGCATAAGTTGCAATGCTAATAGTGAAATGCTGCCCTTTGAAGACTTGTCAAAAAATATCCCAAAACAATATCTGAACAATATTTCACCAAACATCTCAACTGTTAACTTCTCATCCTCAGCAGGATAATGTAAGAGTTTATGAGGAACAAATCCCTGCCTGCAGCATGTATTCAGCCAAAGACATAAAATCAGGCTGTCTGTCATTTCATATGTAATCGTGCGATTTGTTGGATCTTATTGCCGTTTATGTTCTGCTCTCTTGTGGTAAAAAAAAAATAAAAAATTACCCCGATCCATTTTGTTTTATAAACATTTAAAATTATGCTCTGGGCTGTTAGCACGCTAATGATAATGCTAATTGCTGTGATTTTCATTCTTAGTAAATCGAGAAAAGCACAACAATATGAACATCTTGATTGTTAAGTAGATCTTTGAAAACTTGAGATGTTTTTTTAGGTTTATTGGGAACATGTGTGGCCCACTGAAACATCACAAACTCTTTGATTTCCCGTCCAGCAAACCCGCCAAAGGTCTATTGTAAGTTGGAGCATCTCTAAATTATTTACTCATAAGCCGCAACACAAAAGACTGTTTGTACAGGAAATACATAAATTTTTCATGGACTGTTTCACAAATATTTGTTCACTGAAAATAACAGTGTTATGGAAAATAATTCACCCTCTTTTCTGTTCTTATTCTCACACTTAAATGCTTAAGGTAGTCAAATAAATGTTATCAAAGATAGACTGAGTAAATTATAAAAAATTTTTAAGATACCTATAATCAATCATATTTTTTGGTTTACTTTCCCTAGTAACACTCGACGACTTAAATAAATCCTGAAGTAGACTTAAAGATCTGAAAAAGCAACCAGAAGTGCCGGTGCATTGATGACTTATCCAGGTTTTATTACAAAATAACCCAAAGCATTGCAAGCTGGCCTTACCCGAGTCAAGATCACCTTTCATGATTCCACAGTTCAAAAAATAGAGTGGGCAAAAATGGAAAAGATCCTTCTCACATTCGCCAAAAAACGTCTTAGTGATCTTTAAGACGGAGAAGACAGCAGTGAATCTCATCGTAACGAACATAAAACTTACAAAGCACTTCAGATAAAAAAATATTGTATCAAACATGGTGGTGGCAGGGTGATGGTGAGGGATGTTGGAGCATCAGAACCTGGATGACTTGAAGAATCCTGCTCTCTAAAACCAAAACACTAAAGGAGAACATCAAAGAATAATTTTATCATATTTTGCAATGATGCAAAGCACACCAACACGTTTGCCTCTGAATAGTAAAAAAAAAATCAATTTGAGATGTCTCATGAGCTTGAAAACCCCAGTGTAGCTAAATCAAAGCAATTCCTCCAAGATGCAAAAGACTCGCTCGCAAATTTCTGATGGCGGTTGTTGCCACAAAGGTTGGGATAACTTGTTGCAAAGTGTAGGAGGCGATTACTTTTTCACATAGTGCCTGGTTGGTTTGAACAGCTTTTTCACTTACATCAAACCTAAGCGTTTTCTACCACAGTTCAAAATCCAAAACTAAATCCTGTCCCGTGTTTAGCTTCGTGTGCAGCGCACACGCTACATCGAGTGGTTTTTACTTTTAAGAATCACCATGATGACGCAATCGCTGTCGGATTGGCCCGCCTCAGATAACAAATGAGTCTGTAAACCCTCTTTAAACGTCTCTATCCTAATTGTAGGAACATTTAACTGAGCTAGCATAAGTTATTTATAATGCACCATAAAGCTGCACCAGCTGTGCCAGAAACGCTTCAACAGGTCTAATAAATTTTTAATCACATTAAAGGTTTATTTCTCAGCTCAGAATCAACAGGACTATAAATAACCTTTCTTTTGAAAAATATAATTTTTGCAGAGAGAGAGGCCTTTCACAGAATAAATATGATTATACCAGAAATTTTGCATTTCTGTTCCTCAGTGGAGCCAAAGAAGTTGCGCCTTCAGATTAATCAACTGTGTCATTACAAAGATTAACTATCGAGCTTTTGCCTACGTTACTGAGGCTTTAAGAAAGTTTAAGAACCACACTGGTACAAATGAATATTTAATTCACTTTGTGATCATCCATATTTGATGAAACATAAAACGGGACAAATGAAAAAAGTGATCATTAGTTCTGTTCTCACTCGTTGCTTGATCACACGAAGAAGTACAAAAAAGCAGAAACAGAAAGAAAATCTATTAAGACTTTAATTTTTCCCTTTTCTTTTAAATACATTTTGCACAAAAATTGTGTTTTTCCATTAATAAGTTACATCATAAATAAAAGCGAACATACAGTATTTTGTCTTTTCACAATAAGTCAATTGTAGCAGCAACTGGCAAACCGGATTCCATTTATCTAAAGCACTCCAACGTACCCAGTCAAAAATTTCCATCATTGTAAAATAGAAATATTCAACCGGTTGCACTTTCACCGAGGTTTTACAGCAAACTCTGCCCTAGTTTTTTTACTTTTTTTTTTTTGGAAATGAAATAAGAAACAATAAAAACAGGAGCATCAGCCCTTAAAGCAGTGGAAGTCACAGGAGGTAGCATCTTACTCTCCCGCCTATCAATTTTTCTGTTTTTTTTTTCTTGCAGCAGGCAACATTTATTGATCGCTATGATTATCATAGCCATCCATCCACATTTAACTGCATTTTTTCCCCGTGTCGTCTCCATAGTGAAAGCTGCACTAGAGCTACTTCATCATAAAGCTGTAGCTCCGTGCTGAAGGTTTGCCGATGTACAGATAATCTTATTTTGATTCACTGTCCGTTATTTATGAGAAAGAGAGACAAAGAGGCAGAAACTCTGCATGGGAACATCATGATCTGAACATTCACGGGAAGGTGGATTTTAAGAAGTCTGCTTTCTGGAGATCGCAATGCAGACGGCATTTTCCTTAAGGAGAAGGAGCCCAGCAGAATATAAAGTGATCCCACAGAGAGGGTGGCCAAATGATTAAAAGGATTCAGTCCAAACCTTCCTACATGACAGATGGGACATGCAGCCAATTAAAATCAAAGTATAATGTTCTGTAGATTAAATCCTTTATCTGGATTACATTAGTGAAGCACAGAAAGGTTAATGCTTCCTGACCTTCGTCAGATTTTGGTTCATTTATTAAGTTTTGTTCAGCAAGGTTGGAAAAAAATCTACATCAGTACCTGAATGTTTATACGCAAACAAATGACAAGTGAAACTCCTCAGTCAGTAGACTGCGTGGATTATGAAATCAGCAGGAAAACACGCTGGAACACAAAACTTTTAATTTGTTCCTTAATCTATTTTTAGTTTCAGATCTCCCTCAATTCTGGCTTCAAGGTAACAAGGTGATGGAAATTTTCCTCAGAGGTTTTGGTCCATATTGACGTGATGTTGCTGCAGATTTTTTAGTTGCACATTCATGATGTGAATCTCCTATTTCACCACGTCCAACAGGTGCTCCTCTTATTAGAGATCTGATGACTGTGGAGGCCACTGGAGTGCAATAAAATCATTCAAGAAACGACAGGAAGATTTGAGATTGGTGACATGGAGCCATCAGAAAACAACCACCTTGTCATTGTAAAGAAGTGGACACTGTCAGCGACGGTTCTGAGGCAGCCTGTGGTTTTTTTTTTTAGATCATGCTTAGTTGATAGAAAGGGGTCCAAAATGTGCCAGATGTCCCTCACAGTATTACATCACTACCAATGTAGTGATGTAATACTACATATCTATGTAGTGATACTACATAGTGTATCACTATGTAGTAAGAAGCCATTCCGGCTTCTTGTCCTCGATAAGAAGCCTGAATCAGGGATAAGAGGAAAAACGTATCCATGCTTTACATCAAATTCTGAAAAACGTATCCATGCTTTACATCAAATTCTGACTCAAACATCTGAATTTCACAGCTGTGATAACAATTTTCCAATCTGTTGCTGTCCAAACATGGTAAGTCTGTGTGAATTGCACCCTCAGTCCACTGTTCTCAGCTGACAGGAGTGGCACTGGATATGAGCTTTGGCTGCATTCAGAGATAGTATTTTGGACACATTGGTTCTAAGAAGTGATAATTTTTTCCAATTCTCCTCTAACATCAACAAGGTATTTTGTGCCCGCAAGATCTTTGGATTGATTTCTGCAAATCCAAAAGATGAAAATCCCAGTAGCTTCTGAACTATTGCAAAATGTCAGCCTTGCACAACCAACCATAAAAGTCACTTAGATCCTTTCTTTCCCAGCCTGATGTTTGGTTGTAACTTCATGCCAACGAAACGACTTAAAACATAAAGTTTCTGTCATGTGATTGGCTGGTCGCTGATGGTGTAGGCAAACAATCCAAATTGTACGCCTAATAATGCACTTTGTGTTTTGCGTATTAGGACATACAGCAGTCATTTCATTAACGCGTGACAACGGTTGTAAGGAATTAATTTGCAGTAACTGAACAGGTGTCGCCCTGGTGTTTGGTGATAACTTGTGCTAAAATTGGATTAAACTGCCATGGGGTGAGCACTCAACAGGAGGCAGAGGCCACCGAAGGTTAATTAGGGAACAAAATGACCACCTGTTTTTGCTACACAATGAAGAAACTCTTACTCAGCTGATTGGTGCATTTGTGTAAAAACTTTTTTTTTTTCCCAGTGGTGGTTGCCTGATTGCTCTCCTGTGGAGTCATGACTTCAGGAAGGTAATGTGTTTTTTTTATTTTTTTCCTGCTGACTGGAGTTTGTGGTGTAAAAACACCAGTGACGATGAAGGAAGTGAGGACACCGAGGTTTTCTGCGTCCTGCTTCATTTCAAGGACCTTTTAACGGTAAGTAAGCAATTAATTTTGCATTACTTGTAAGTAAACACGGAGAGTTTGTACATTTATGCAAACATAGGCAGACTTATGTGCAGAGTACCACATTAAGAAGAGCAGTAAAAGCATACATGCCTTACAGAGACATACAAGTACATTCGCAAGGCAAACGCACACTTCTTGTTCTGCCAGGTTTCTCCCTCCGCATGCCGACTGTGCATCTGGCATCAAGGTTAAGGTCTGGAGACACACGCAAGCTGTGAGCTCTGCCTGGCTTTCACATACTCTGAATGGGCTTTATGAATGGCTGTGACTCAAAGACTGAGTGAACACCGGGGTGCCGCCGCACTCAACCCAATCCGACAACGGGTTCTGGAGAAAAGTCAAAAACCGACTTGTCTCCCAGCACAGCCAGCAACCGTGTTCAACATAATACGCCGACAGGTTTTCTTTTGCTGCTTGAGCCAAAGTGCTTTTGAACACCCCTCTGCTGCGTCTCAGTGTTCATGGGGTGCACGACTGCATCTCTGTGTTTGTTCTCATTGTCCTGTCGGAGAGGCGTGTGACTAGACTGCTGCAGTAAAGTCGGCTCTCGACGTTGCGTGGAGCCGGTGACTCGGTTCTGCAGGTCAGTCGTGGAACGTACAACGAACACACTTTGTGCAATTCATTACAGTAAGAAAACTATCCACAGTTTATCATACAAAGGAAATGCAAACACGAAGCGCCTCGCAAAAAGTATTTCACATCCCTTGAGATTTTGAGGCATAATCTTGAGAAAAAATTTTTTTGTAAAAAATAATCTCAAACATGTGACGCACAAATGTATTCAGTCCTATACTCGCAAAAAAAAAAATCCAGTGTAATCATTTGCATTCAGAATTCACATTATAGGCAAACAGAGTTCACCTTTGTGCATTTTAATCTCAGCTTAGATACGAACTGCTCTGTCGAGACTTTAGAGGTTTGTTAAAGGGTATTAGTGAGCGACCATCTTCATGAGAAGCGGATGGCATGACAACTTAAAGACACGGTGAGCCACTCGGGTCCAAACTGCTTGCCTTCGAAGCCAAACCTGGAAAATTTAAACCTTTAACCACAATATAAATTAAAGCAAAAATGCAAAATTATTTTGTTGCATTTTTTGCAGCTGTCGTTTTACCTGCTCAACAATAAACAGCATTTTTATAAAATCTGTATATCTGCATAAGAGCCAGTACATAAAAAGGCTGTTTTTATGGCTTGCTAAAAGAAAAACAGAGCATTTCCAAATGTATTGGGTCATCAATTCTTGACTTGTGGTCAGGGGTCAAACAAAATAATTTCAAGGGCCACAAGTAGCCCCCAGGCCACAGCTTGGACACCCCGGATGTAAACCATCAGGCTGAACGACGGGAGCATAGTTTTCAGATTTCAGAGGTTGACCTTTCGACAACTCTAAAAATACCGCCCCAGCAACCGTGTAATGGTTTAGATGAAACATGTTCATATGTTAGGAAGGCCTGGTTAAGATCTAAACCTAAATTCAATTTAAAATCTACATGGTGTTGAAAGTTAAAGCTCACAAATAACATTATTTCAGTCTGAAGGAGTTTAAGAATAGACAAAATGAGACATACCTCTAGATGCCTTGCAGCTGTCTTGCACTGAAAATTGGTCCTCTCACTAAGAAGGGCTGAATCTTTTTAGATTTTTAAAGTAAAGTGTTTTGAAAACTCCTTCCATGTTATGATCATGCACCACTTTGTGTTGCTCCATCAAAATCCCAATAAATTACAATCGAGACTTTTGGTTGAAACGTCACAACATGTCGAAATGTTCGCGGGATATGAATACTTTTTCGCGGCGCCGTGTTTGCACACCATCTTTTACATCTTCACCACTGCTCTATCAAAAGATCAAGCACTCGATTCACATTCAGATCCGAATCCAGACTAAAATCGGATTCGACAAAAGGAGGTTTTGGCGGGGTGAGAGGGTGGAGGCCTGACGTGAGGGTTTCGAGCCAGTCGGCAGCGTCAAACTGTGCAGGAGCCCGCCGTTTCCGAGACCTTCTAGTCGAAGGCGAAGGGGAGGTGCAGATTGGGAGAGGCGGAGGCGCAGGGACGACCTGGCTTGGGTTTATTACAGCAGGAGACGGAGGGAGCTCCAGCAAGAGAGAGGAACAAAGAGGGGACGGCAGGAAGTTGTCATCTTGCTGCTGAAAAGGCTGGGGCTGCTCAGCTTGAGGGGCAGGGGAGCGGTCAGGAAGTGAGTGTGCAGCAGATTTATGATCAGAGGCCTCAAGAGAGCCTGGAAGCAGGGTACAGTCGAAAGGATTAGACAGATACGACGACATTAAACGTGCATTTCCAGTTCCCTATTCGAGACTCACCATCACAAATAAGTGGCTCATCTAGAATATCATCAATAGACTGTCGAGGGTCCATCTGTTGCAGAGAGAAAGAAAAGATGCTTCAGTCCTGAGCTCAAAGATCTCTCAGTGACTCCCTTTTTTCCTCAGACCAACCTGGGCTTTCTGAATCGCCTCCTGCAGCTCTTCCTCCAAGCTGCGAACGCCAGGTGAGGTCTGAGCTGGACTTGCTGTAATCTGCAGTGGCAGCTCGAAGTCATGGCCAATCACATCACACGGCTAGCGGCAAAATCACATGATTGGACAAGACAGTTTAAATCAGTTGACAGGTGAGGATGAGTGCTCATTCACATGAGGAAAGTGATAAATGTTTTAAGGCACAGTGATTCAGAGTGCAGCCTGGAGTAATTGCTTTTAATGTTAACAGCACTTTGCCAAAGTATTCATTCCTCTTGAACTCAACAAACTTTAATGTATTTTACTGGGGGATAATGTGACAAGTCAAATCTTTGAGAACTGCTATCCTGCACCTATTAGGGTGCACCAGCCTAGAGTTTGACACAGCGCAGCATTAAAGCTAACCACAACAGCTGAAAGTGTAACAAATGTTGCAGTTTTGGTTCCCGATTGAACCGTCTACCAAAGCATCAGGTGTGTGGCATGAGGTATAGTATCAACTGGGAGCCTTGAGCCTTTTTTTCTAGGATCCTACCAGATTTGTGGAGTGTCTGATTACATTTGTCCTGTTGAAAAATTCTTACACCTGACCTGTCGATCTCAGCAGCTCCTCCAGAGTTACCATGAGCCTCTTGGCTAATTTACTGCTCAATATTCTCCTATTAATTAACCTATTTCCAGATTCTGTCAAAATTCAAACACCATGTATTACTTTGCTTCCACTTCACATTAATAGACCAACACTTGCTGTTGGTTTGTTTAGGTTTGTGGTTGTAAAGTGCTAAAATGGGAATATTTTGTAAAACATACTCGATGTCTGTATGACTTGAGCATATTACCTGAGCAAACAACACCTCTGTTTGCGCATTTAGTTCTGCCTTCCTTTTTAGGCATCCCGGATCCTGTTGCAGGAACGGATGAAGGGATCCCTCCCCAGACTGGTTGGGGAGAAGTCACATTTATGCAGCACTGCCACTAATATATCACAAGCTTCCCAAATCTTCTGTGGCAAAACACTCACCTCAGTACCCGCTTGCAGTACGCCATACTCAGTATGCCGGCTCCTCTTCCTCTCCCGCTTCTCCAGCTTCACGCTCAGCTCTAGATGCTCCTGCTGCTGTTCTCTGTCGGTTCTCCAGGGAGTCCCACACTGTAGGGGCGAGGAGGACGACATGGGCAAACTGGGACTCGGAGTTCCTGACGCAGTGCTGGCGGGATCCAAGAACACAGTGCTGCCGAGACCACACTGTTCACCTGCCAAACTGACTGACGCAGCGTCTGCGAACGCTTTTGGGACGGCGTTCAGAGTCCCGTTTGGGTCTCTGTTGGGACCGTCACTGAGAGTCCCATTAGGAATCCCCCCGTCTTGAATGTACAGCTGTTGGTTCGGGCTGCTGCCGGGCGAGCTCAGCCTGAAGCCGGGGCTGGAGCCAGGGCTCTGACAGGGCAGCAGCGGGGCACAGGGAATGAGGGGCTCCATGCTGGTGCCCAGCTTGCTAAGAGGAGCCGGGGCGGGGCAGGCGTGCTGAAGCTGGAAGGGACGAAGGCGCTGCAACAAGGCCGGCTTGGTTCCAGAGACAGGGAGGCCACGTTTACGCAGCTGCTGCCTCAACTCCGACACCTGGGGGAACGGTCAGCGAGCGTCACCAGCTTCTTCTAGTCATCAATAATGATTAGTGGGAGAATATGTGTACATTTTACCGTTAGATCAACAAGATTTGCAGGAAGAGGCTCTGGTTTGGAAGTAGGATTTGCGTCCGTCTGAGTTTGGTTTGTTGTGGCAGGAACAGGTTGGAGGCTGAGCGGTGAGGCTCCACAAGACTTCACCAGATCATTGTGATCTCCACTGGAGGAGTGACAGAGCGATCGACTCAGGTAAAATGTCTGGATCAATAATCAGATACCTTCACTGCTGGGTGTTGGTCAATTCACCTGATCTATGACGATTCATACCCGTTTCATTTAGGTAGTTTTATGCAGGGTTTGTTTGGAGTCTTTGCTCCAAACAAACCCAGATCCAGATCTGAACAAGTGGGGAAAAATGTTGCACTTTCCAAAATGTTTTTTCTGTTATCCCAATTTTTTTTTTTTTGGTTAAAATTTGAATTTCAAAAGAATAAAATGTGTTCTTAGAAATATTTATATTCACTTTAAATCTATCATCCTTGATTTTCCAACTTCTTTTTTTTTTTTTTTTTTGTTTTAATGATACTTAATGAGAGAGCCCACAATATAAACACAAAAAACTACAAAAGAGCATTTTTTTCTGCTTTCTTGCTACCTTGTCCATGTCTGAACTTGTTCAAACAGAATAACAGCATCAAAATGTACAAACTCTGCTTTAAAAAATTAGTTTTTCGTATAGAAACACTCTGTCTTCATTTGACAAAGCTAACTGTTGCACATTTGCTGATGTAACTTCTGTGAAATACAACATTAATGAAGCTGGACTGAAAGCAAAGTGCAGGTACCAAAACGTTTTTTTGATTAGGTGCAATGGTGAATTGACCAGACAGCTCATCGGTATTGTTTGCATACCTCGGTACAACTGCAACCTCCTGCGGCGGCTGTAGTCGCTGCTGGTGCTGCTGCTGTTGACTCTGCAGGATTTGAAGCTGGAGGAAGACCTGCTGTTGTTTCAGCAGATGGGAGTAGGCGGGGTCTAGCGGCTGCGCTGGGGCAGGGCTGCTCTGCTTAGCTCCTCCCGCTGGAAAACATGGGAGTGAAACATGTTAGCAAAACGAAGGAATATTTCTGCAATAAATGGAGAAAAGCAGAGCTTAAGTTGAGCACCTCCAGTCCCAGACGCTCCCTTCTGGTCTGGAGGAATGTACTGATGATACTTGAGTTTCTTCATCTTGGGTTTGATGTCCCGCGGTTTCCGGGGGCGGGTAAGGTGATTGAAGTTTAGGGAAGGGGGCAAAGACGAGGGGCAGATCGGGCTGGGAGGCCGAGCTGTCTGTAAACACACACATTGCCAACATCTCTCTAAACAGTAACCATGTTACATACAAATACTTTCCACATGCAGAGTTTCATTGGAAGTGTCAGCTCGCTGTAAAATACTCGACATGTTTGGCCCTTGCTAAGGTTACATTCTTTATGTGTCATCACAAATGTCCTGATGACACCGTGTGCCGCCTCTGACCTACACCACCGGGGTTTATGTGTGAATATGTTAACCTACATGGGAAGCGCCGACTCCCCCCTAAAGTACAAATTGACAGTAATGACTGCAGGGCAGCTTAGAACAGGAAAAAAGCACAGGATTGGCCGTCCTGTTAGCTTAAGGACCGCCACAGAGCTTTTCTGTGAACTCCACCACAAAACATGCATGAACAAATTAGATGACTTTTAGATATATTTATTTGTGTTTTGCCATAACTGTATCTTCCAGATTAATTAAAAATAAATAAATAAATAAAAAATACAAAAACGTTGACAGAACCAACAAAAACCAAACTGAAATGATGTTGTCCAGAGACTGGGTGATACCTTTGGCAGCAGGGGTGTCGTCTGAGCGGTCAGGAACATCCCGTTTGGTCTTCCAGTTGGTGCCAAGGAGTTTGATTCACCCAGCGTCACGCTCAGAGGTTGTCTGACGCCCGCGGTTGGCGGAAGCAATGTCAGACCGGACTGAAAGCATAAAAGAAACAAAGTGCATTTCAGAAAATGACATTTTTTTCTGTTTGTAAAGCAAGAAGAAAAACAAAATGCAAACTTTACCCATTTTAGAAATTAATCACCTTTATTGTATTTCAAATGTTATGTGTTTTTGGTAATGTGTTTCTAATACATTAGCAAAATGTACAGTGTGGCACACACTCAAATTATAACTCATCTGTATTTGAGGGATGCAAATAATTAGTCTTAACTAAGATTGTTAGGAATTATACATTTCCAGGTGGGCGGGGCCTCAATGATTTATGCTGGATTATCATAACCGACAGTCTGAGTTTATACAGAAATTTTGTTAAAGCTATTGATGTTTGTTTAGGTTTCAGAAATACAGAAGCACAGTTTGGATAACTGGGAAAGTTAAACCACTGTGAATGTAGATTTAGGGGCTTTGAGGGTTAACCCGATGCAACCCCATGCAAACACTCTCAACTCTAAAATGTTAGCTGTCTTTGCAAACTTAATACTTGAAATGGCTCCAACTGACTGCAACCCAACCTATATTTTGATTAATTCGGCTAATACCAAATATTCATTTATCAATGTAAAACGGCTTTTATTTTGTTGTGTTTGTTTCTCTGTTCATGTATTTTGAGATTTTTACCTCGAAAGGTGCCAGGTAAAGATTTATTTACTTTAACCACAAGGGGGTGATGATAGCATGTGCATAGATCATTGAACTTTCATCCCAAGATGGTTTGATTTAACGTATGATTAAAGAAAAACCCCAAAAAACAACTAACATTCAAGTGATGTTCATACTGGGTAACTGATGTGACGTTTATGTAGCACTTGCATACATTTTATTGCAGCGAGTCTTATTTATATGTGGCATCTCATAGCTACAATGCGACAAGATTTTTCTCCCAGGACTGTGTCAGTCTGGAATAACCTGCGATATAATTACAAATGTTCAGTATCAGATGCAGAGAAAGATGGAGCTAAAGTATTTATTTAAAGTTTCATGCAGCCACACGGTAAAAAAAACAATGCAGATATGCAGGTTTCTGACAGGGTTGTTCACCAGACAGTAGTGTTAATGGCTTTCTGCTGTCTTCAATACCTGTGCATGACTGGGACTGTCATTAAGGGTCAGACCCACAGCTGAGCAGTCACTTAGTGGTTGGTCAACTGGGAGGCCCGGCAGGGAGGAAATGGATGCCGCTTGGAGAGCGGCATGCTGCTCCGTGTTTAAAGACGAGATGGAGGAAGAGATGTCCTCTTCGAAGACATCAGCAGGGAACGAGGCAGAACCTGAGGAAACCACCGGTCCAGGGATGCACGATCAAAACAGCAAGCGAACAGGATTCTGGGAAGAATTTTTTTTTCCAAACGTGTCGGTATGTGTGTTGCCGAGTATTTATTTACCATTCTCCAGGGGCAACGTGTGCTCAAGCTGTTGCTCTGCGGCTGCTGGAGGTTGCTGGATCCTCTCAGTGAGGGTCTGTGAAGGGCGAGCCTTCCTCTGCCTCAGGGCCCCACATACAGTCCTCTCTATGGGCGGAAGACAGAAGGAGGAATGTTGCAGATTAAAAGGAGAGAACAGGACAGATGGGAGATCAGTACAGACGGAGAGAGAGAGAGAGAGAGAGAGAGAAGATTGGAGAAAGGGAAGCAACAGGACTAGAGAACATATGTGATGTGAGTGTGCAGAACAGCTTCGCCACAGGCAGTGAGTCCCAGTCCAAACCAGCAGAGGCATCAGGAAATAGTAAACACTTTTTCCTGCAGGGAAATGTGTCGCCTTGGATGTGTGCACACACAGTCACTCTCACCGTTTTTTTGTTTTTTTTGTTTTTTAAATGTCAGAAAAAAGAGCTTTTAAAGAAATTACATCTTTTTGAAATGCCTGATACTATAATAATAGCTCTTTTAAATCAAAGGCAGGGTTAGGGGGTATGGAAATGAAGAAGATGAGAGTTTAGAAGAGGGAGAGATTAGAGAGAGAAGAAATGATGACTCCGATTGTCAGATTGACGCGTTTATCATGTGCTGTCAGTCACTGATGTGTCGGCTTCTTTTAAAGCAGCGTTACACTATGCAGCAAGGTCACATCTTAGTTTCACAGATAGTGAAGCACACACACACACACGCGCGCGCGTGCGCGCGCAGACACACATCTCCTCAGCTACTGTACAGCAGATGTAACGCAGACAGAGACGGAGTGCCAAGAGGGCAAATCTGTTATTGTGCACAAAGCTGAAGGCGGAGAGAGTAAAGCAAGAAGCAGACAGCAGCTTCACCGTCGGCTTGGCATCACCTTGTGCAGTTTCAGCGCTCAGACCACCAGGGGGCAACTTCTGAGTGGCGCCATCCTCAGTTTGACGCTGCGTCAGAAAACGTCAGGTCAGTTTATTCAAATGAGTCCAGCTTTATTACACTGCTTTCTATATTCGTGGTATGACTGGCATGACACGGAGCTGCAAAGACTCTCAATTTGCTCCAAATTTATTCTTTTTATCAAACAAACCTGTTGTCTCTTCTCTAAATAAATGGATCTTTAGTAGTTGCCCTAAATATATAAATATCCTCTAAGCCTATTTATAAAAAAGCAATCTTTTTTGGGGGGGTGTAGCCTAATGCATCAATTATGAAAGATCAAGAGATGTTTCAAATTACTGCGTTGATTTGCTAAAGTTACAGTTTTGTGAAATTTGAAGAAAGTATTTTTTTGGGTGCTATGCTAATGTGTTTATTATATTCTCCCACATGCAGTCAACTTCAGAGGTTTGTATGGCTTGAAATACATGACTTGTTATATTATATTGTACAGCTTACATGAGCTTCACTCCGTTTCTTCTCTGTTTTCTGATGAGTGGAGGCAGATTTCAACCCTGCAGACAAAACATATGAATAACAGAATGTAAAAAAATATATATTCTTAATTATAATTTTATAAAAACAAAAGAAATGGAAATAATATACACTGAAAACCTCCAGATTTTACACTCATTTCTGCAAGTTACAGCATGAAGAACCGTAGAAGTGAAGCCGGTCTGATCAGAAGACTATAGTCATTTTTTTCTATTTCAACATTTCTAAACACATTCAGATATTGACTCCTCTATGTCTTTCTAATAGAGACAACTGACAGTGTGTTAGGAGCATTCTGCATTTACACTTGACTTTAATAAATCTGTACGTATGAACCAACAAACGTGAGGATTAATTCTTAGACTTGTACAATTTCTTTCAAATCTGGTTGCCGACAGTTTTGCAAACTTTTAAGTTGATTTCAATCCGTCGGGCATCAACAAAACCATTCAGTCCTCAGGGTTTTATTTTGACTTACATCATTTATTCTGAAATATATTCATATTTTGCTGCAGAAGTGCAATCTCACACTCAAAACTGTTTATAAAGTGGAAGGAAAACTACCACATACTTACTGGTCAACAAATCACCACAAGAAAATACCTAAACTTCTCAGTTACAGCAATAATTTAAAAGTTTAAATGAACTGGAGTCGTTACAAGCAAGACTAGATGAGGTTTAGCTCCCAATCACACAGAATAAACAGGAAAGTGTAAAAAGTAACAATGTCTAAAGTTCACTTATAGAGAACTGCAGCTCAGAGTGGAAACTTGGAGCTCACTGAGCCGTACAACACAGATCAGTGCAGTTTAATTTCTTCATATTGATTTTAAAAAGTACTAGTTTCACTGGGAGATTATTTCACTTACAAGACATTTTTCCATGATGTAAGTGAAATAATCTGAACTTTTTCAACATTAAGGAGTTACTGACTTAAACAAGCTCCTTTATTTTGCTGAAAAGTTACTTGAAAGTTAATTTGCAATTGAAACCAGACAAAAGTACTTTGTAAGACGTGTATTTGCAGTGTGAAAATTAGATAAAATCTCCATAACATCCAGTGGACACTGTCTATGATTTGAGAGTCACGGCAGAAAAAAAGAAGCGATTTTGCTCTACCCTCAAGGTGTAAATGTGTGGAGGGTTAGGGTTGGGTGCTGTGGGCCTGCTTCTCTTTCACAGGCCCCGAGAGCCTCATTAGTGAGTCTAAATTTCTCAATTTGGGATTCTACTGCTGCAGAGAAAGATGAACAGTAAAATAAATGCTATAACAATATTTCCTCTGCCATTATTGCCATTTATTGCATCACGCTGGTGGATTAAAACATCATGTTTTTAAAGGTTTTGCCATTTTCACAAAAGGTTAATATGAAAAAGTAAATGAGATATGCATCGTCTGTGACTTAAAAGCGGTGGCTCTGCCGCGGATAACAACACATGCAGCTTGCTGCCAGAGCAGAGCACTCAATCAAAGGTTAATAACACAAGCTAACCTGGGTCTGCATTGATTTCACTCAGCCTTCGGTTCTGAATCCTCAGCTGCAGGACTGAAACAAAAAAAAAAAAAGATGATGATGAGCTGTGCTGAGAGAAAGACAGATCTGGGAACAGAAATTCAGCCAAAGAAAAGCAGAAAGTAATCAATCCAGGGCACTTTACGAACAGCTCAATAATGCATGCTTGTGAATCATTTAGCCTGTAGATGGAGTATATATTCTTTAATGCTTATCACATAAAACACACAGGTGAAGTGCAGGGTGCAGCTGGGCCTCTGGTACACTTTGGTGTGTACTGAGACCTGAGAAAGCAGGTGGGGAGGGGGCTGAGGTTTCTATTTATCCCTCTGTAAATCTATTTCTGTTGGTCCCATCCCCCCTTCAGCTGTCCCGCTCTCTTCACGAGCCTCTCATACATCCCGTCCTGCTCACGTCATGCTCATTTGTGCTGCTGGCCGCAGTCTTCCTGATTTCCTGTCTCTAAGTACGAAAGCGCAGGAATCTGTAATTAAATTGTTGTCTGAAACAAGTTTGTCGGCTCAGTTTCAATTATTCATTTGTCGTTTGCACTGTAGATGCCATGCAAACCTTTGACTTCACTTCTAATCCTCTCAAAACTAAATATTGGTGAAGGTCAGGATCAAACAGAGGAATTGTGCTTCTTCAAAGTCCTCAAAAACTAAATTTGCCTCCCAGTAAAACTCGAAAATGAGCATTTGTGATGAAGGCCTACTAATAAAAAAAGATCACAGCCCAAACAGACTACAATATTCCCAAACGCCCAGTCACGACGCTTCCTTCGGAGACGTTTACTGGAAGCAGCTCATGTATGTACAGACGAGATTTGGAGCAGAGCAGCTGCCTAAAGAATCCTGTTTTCCAGCAGCTGTTTGAACACCTAGGGGACTGTCATTTTCTCGCCTTTCTATTTTGCAGCCATTCGCGACAGCTGCCTGGGAATTCAGCAGCCGCTACAAGTTGTAGGAAATGTAGCATTAAAATATGCAGTGATGGAAAGGTTGTTTGTGGCAGAGTGGCTGTTGAATCCTAAAAGGATGTCCCGCAAAAGCGCCTTTTTTAGGTGTTATTGTTAGTATTTATTATTATTTACAGTATCAGGTTCAGTGTTAGTGTAGAGTTGAGTTCACTGACCCAGTTTAGAAATCCAAACTGACTTTTTGTCCAAGCCCTCCAGAATATTTTTACAAAATGACTAAATTTGTGCGTAGCAGCCAAATTCACCCAAGGCTTTTATTTTTTATTCATGACATCAGTGTGAAACATTTTTTTAACACTCTTATCTTCCATGTTTTGTGTTGGGTTTTACACCACCTGAATCCCGTGGGTGCACATTATGGCAGTGGCTCTCAAACTCTCAAAACTAACCCTACCCTGACCTTCAAATTCAATAAGACTGCCTTACATATGTAATACGGCATCCTTCTTTAGGGAACATATTGCTACACTTTGAAAGCAGAAACTGCTGAACAATACAGTGCTACTTAGCTTGTAGCGCCACTACAAACAAACAGCAAATCCACCGCAGGTCAAATTTAAAACTGCTGAGGTAAGCAAATCATAGCGTATGCATCCACCAGGACTTGTCTAAGGTCTCCGTCTTCTCCTTACGTTTGTAGAAGCTCACCAGATTTTCTCTGCACTCCTCTTTTAAGAAATGTCAGAGAAATAACATAATTTGGCTTGCTAACGTTTAGTAGCTCTTTATCACGGTTTGTTTCTATTCGTCTTGAAATGGTACCAAAATCTCCTCACAACTAAAGTCAGCCAGAATGCCACCTGTTGTACTTCCAGCGAAGTTTGAGAACCCTCCAAGGAAATGGGTGTTGTTGACGCTTTGTGGATGCGTCCACAGGGAGCCGCTGCCAACTCAATAATCTTGTGAATTTTGTGAAGTTGTGCTTTTGAAAATGGCCAATACTTGATTTAAAGCAAGGGTCTGAAACACTAAGATGTTCTGCATCATTTGGAGCCATTTTTACTGTAACACTATCTTAATTATCTCCTTCGTAAAGACCTGTTCAGTAATCATTCATTTGATTCAGATATGTTTGAGCAGCGATGCAAGACAGTGTTGTTTTTAAGCGCCACCTGGTATCATCTGTGTTCTCTTTGTTTTTGCTTTAGTTATTTTGTTTCTGACTCTCAACCTTCAGCCGGTCGCAGCAGAGAGCAAATTCTGGGTCTGGTTTAGCTGGAAGTTTCTTCCCAACCTGAGGATGGACATCCTCATCCTCAGGTTTGCTTTAAGGTCAGTGACTTGATGCAGTCAGCTACGCTTCCTTAGACAGACAGCTTTAGCAACTGGCAAAAAAAAAAAAAGATCCACTGAATCTGACAGGATTCTGATTGTAATTCTGTCTAAATGATTTGAATGGATCAGAATGAATTCGATTCAATCTGGACCCAATTTAGCTTTATTGAATACAGTCTCCGCTTTTGTTGATTTGTTTCTCAATAAACAAAAATATTCAGCTGTATCCAAGTTACAACTTTCAACTCAACAGAAAATGCGCTGATGCACTGAAAATCTGCGCCTACAACTCAGATTGAGCCACAGCAGAGACCAAGTGTGTCACGTTGCAGATGCTCTAATCTGTTGACACGGGAATTGAATAAACCGCCTCTCACCGCAAGGCTACACACACACTACACACACATCACAGCGGCCGAGTAAAGTCGGCCCAAGGGAGAGACCTGTCACTTGAAAATCCTGATTTGAAATCTTCCTCCAATGTGAGAAGATGACAAGTGTTTGATCTGTTCCTCCCTGTCCAACCAATTCTGCTGCACAAGTGCACAGAAGAAGTCAACAGCAAATTCAGCAGTGCGGCGAAATGGTGTCGCTCCGGTTTCAGCGCTCAGTTCTGAAAAGAACCACATTTTATCCTGTTAACGCCAAGATTTCAAGTCGTTTTATACATCACTGGCCACAAACGCATAACACGGACTGGATACTGAACAAGCCCCACGTGTCACTCAACTCTTTTTAATCAAATCAATTTGATTATGTTTAATTTTTTTGTTTTGTTTTATATCTTTCTGTAAATACTGTGATATTCTGATATTTCAACACAAAATGAAACCTTGAGAATACATGAATTAATGGCCTATTTCATAGAGAAACTTCTAGAATCTAGAGAGACAGAAAAAAAGACCATACTGTTGTATTGAAATCTGTGCAGTTTGGTTCATAATTCATCCACTCTGAATCTGTTTTCTTGCAAAAAATGTGAATTAATTTTACACCTAAAATATACCCATATTGTCAAATTTTATGCAGATTTCTACATGACTTGGCCAATGCTTTGGAGGAATCTTCATTCACTCAACATTTACTGTTTTTTCATTTTAGTTATTGTTCACTTATTACAAGTATTACAATTGATTTTTAACTGGATTCATGTCTGGACTTTAACTGAGCCGTTCCAGCAGGTAAATATGCTCCGAATCTTCAGCTCTGGCTGCAGGTTTTGTCCTGCTGGAAGGTCCAGTTTCAGATCATTTGCAGCCTGTAAACAGGTTTCCCTTCATGACTGTCTTATTTAGCTTCGTGAATTTTCCCCATCAGCTCTGACCAGCTTCCTGGTATCTCCTGAAAAGAAGCATCAAAACAGCATGGTGCTGCCACAACCGTGTTTCATTGCAAGCGTAAAGTTTCAGGGTAATGGCTGGAGTTAGTTTTCCACCACACACAGCTTTACAGGTTGAAAATTACCTTCAAGCAGCCACTTTCTTCCTCTTGTTTATAAGCTTCAAACCAAACTTCGTCTGACTTTCTATCACCAGTCATTTACTCTTTATTGGCTGCTTCTCTGACAGATGTTCTTCTTGTCCGACTTTGCAGTTTAGAGGGAGAGCCATGTCTCGATAAGTTTTCATTTGTGCCATAATAAGATTTATTGTTTTGTTTGGTGGTTTGAACTGAGCTCTGCAATTTTCAAACTTTCAGAAACTGCTTTATAACGTAATTCTGGGTTAAATGTCTACACAGATAATTGGTTAAACAGGATTTTATTACAGGGCACCAGAGTGTAAGATGCTAAATACAGATGCACACAACTCTCTTTTTGTTTATAAAACATGTAGAAAACCTTCCCCTTCTACTTCACTATTATGTTCTGCCTTGTTTTTGTCTCACTGACGTTCTTAAATTGCTGTGTTCAACTCTTGCTAACATACAATGACAGACATTCGCATATTTCTGACCGTAGTGAAAATTGTATCTGAAATGCGAAGCGTCTATTGTTGCAAAGCAGTTCTACTGTTTTAACTGGCATGTTTAACGTCCGGTTGGTTCTCACCTGACCGGAACTTGTTCCTGATGAGAAGCGACCTCTCGGAGGCCAGGAGAGTCATGGCGGAGCGGAGCAAAGGAAGTGGAGCCAGGAGAAAGAGGAAGTTCCTTGCGTCGCCCGACCAGGTGGAATGGGCTTCTGTCCTTCTGTCTCTCGCTGATTGGGAGACATCAGAGCCAAGGAGGGACGGGAGGTGGAGAGACAGATGCTTATAAATCTACTGATAGAGATAATATATTGATAGAGAGGCACACACACACACAGGCACAGCAGTGATAGACTGAGAAGGAAATGGAGACGTCTTAGACCTGCAGGCTGACTGAACTCTATGGCGAGCAGCTCTGGAAGCAGCAGGCCTCCCTGCAGACAGCCTGTCATAATCACACCGAGTGTCACAGAGGCCCACCCACAGCCAGAGACACAGCTAACGACACACAGAATTAAACAGACAAGAGGCAGAGCGAGGAGCCAGGAGGAGGAAGAGGAAGAAGAAGAGGGGAGCCAAGCTCGGATGAGTGACGGAGACAGAAAGCCCCGCGGATCCTGAGACATCAGGGCCCCGAGGAGCCTGATTGTGACGGACAAACATGAAGTCACAACACCTACAGCGCGCCGCCACATAGCTACACAGTGACAGCAGCTTGTGAGCTGAAGGAGGAAGGGCTGACTCAAACAGAGAGAGCTGGAAATCTGCATAAGCCACATCAGCGCGCGCACACACAACCTATTAACAATATTGATCCGAAATAGCCGGCAGCAGAACACCCAGAGGAAGTCCGCCTGAGTGTACAAACACACACACATGCTGAGGAACGGCTGAGGCGATGCATGCTAATTCAGCTCCTCCTAGTCCCCGCTTCCATGAACACACACCGACTTTGCTTATTTACGACACAAAAGGGTCCAAAACGAGGCCACTCGCTCGTTACCGCCATCCAGCAACAAGGAGCTGATTGAGATTTCGTGTCTGGCAGAGGCGAGGCTTCACTGCAGGGCACCGAGGGACAAGAAGGAGCTGCGAACGCTAAGAGAATAAAAGCAAGAGAATGAAAGAGAATACTTACAGGCAAAGGGAGAATTGAGTCTCTCGGGGGAAATTGGAGTGGATTTAAGATTAAATTGAGAGAGGTGCGAGACGGAGGGAAGAGAGAGAACTTCGTAGTGCGGTTAATGACACTTTCTGTCTTTCATGTTCTTTTCATGTCTTTTTTCCCTCCTGTTTCCACACTTCTTGACTCTTTGTTCTGAAGGTGCAGAAGCAAGGAGGAGAAGGCTCTGCGGTTTCTCCGTCCCCTCACTCTCAAAACTTCTCTCCCTCTGCCCCGTCCGCCCCTGAAGCATCCCAGATCCTCGGTGCCAACTGTGAGGGACTGTCAAGCCTCACCCCCCACCCACACCCCCACTTTATGACCTCGTCTCCCATCCTCGCCCTCCTCCCTCAAAGCCAGTCACCCTCCCCTGACACCTGCTGGCTGCTTGACAGAGGCTCAGACGGGCGAGCTGCTCTCATGTTTGTACTTGACTCTGACAGGAGCGGAACCACAGATAAAAATTAGTGCAGTTCTTTAAAGCGAGGAGCTGAACTGGCACATAATGTGATGGTTAGAAAAGTGAAACCAGGATAAGAAGACAGTTTATTACACAGCAACAGGAGAAGCCCTGGAGTGTTTTGGACTCGCATCAAATTATGTGCTGCAGCAGGACTGCAGGCTCATATGCTCCTGTCAAGATACCTTTGGGTCACCCGGTAAAGTGATTTAGTAGTGTGTGTAAATTTGTGTGTGTGTGTGTGTGGCACCATGGAAAGTCACAGGTCAGTAAGTCTGCACGCTTTACAGCGTCTATATGCACCGGCCGTCAAGCGAAATCACCTGAGTTTCACCTCAGTGTTCAAGTTCACCTGGGGGGACAAAGAGGGGAGGGTCTGCCTGCATGTGCCCGCTCACGCTTTTACATGTGTAACTATAGGCTGTCAGAGGGGCGGGGGGGGGGGGGGGGAAGGGGGGGTAGCGGAGCCCG